TGCCTTGCAGTTCCTTGCGATTTACTCACGTGCGGCGCTCCCGACATTCAGGCACCCAAGAGTCGCGCTCACGCTTAGGACTCCCTCGCAGCTTACTCAGGAATCGGGATCTCGCTGCCCTGCGTGGCCCCGTTGCAACCCTTCGTGGCCCCCTCGCTGCCATTCGTGGCCCATTTGCAAACCTTCGTGGCCCCTTCGCTGCCTTTCGTGGCCCCGTTGCAGCCCCCCGTGGCCCCCTCGCTGGCCGTTGTAGCCATTCGTTGCCCCCTCGCTGCCTTTCGTGGCCCCATTGCAGCCTGTCTTTCGTAGCCTCCTCGCTGCCCTTCGTGGCCCCGTTGCAGCCCCTCGTGGCCCCCTCGCTGACCTTCGTGGCCCCGTTGCATCCCTTCGTGGCCCCCTCGCTGCCCCTCGTGGCCCCGCAATCGCCCTGTGCGGCCCCCTCGCTGTCCTACGTGGCCCCCTCGCTGCCGTTCGTGGCCCCGCATATGCACGCCCTTCGTGGCCCCCGCTCATTCGCGCCCGTCGTGGCCCCATGTGCATGCGCTTCGTGGCCCCGCTGTCGCAGTTCGTGGCCCCCTCGCTGCTCTTCGTAGCCTCCTCGCTGCCCTCAGTGGCTCCGTCCTTTCCCTCTGCGTCCCTTTCGTGGCCCCAGCTCGTTCGTTCCCGTCGTGACCCCCCATGCGTGCCCGTCGTGGCCCCGCTGTCGCCCTTCGCCTGTGCCGCCCTACGTGGTCCCGTTGCCACCCTCAGCGGCCCCGTCGTTGCCCTTCTGCGGCCCCGCATTATCTGCCCTTCGTGGCCCCCGCTCGTTCGCGCCCTCCGTAGCCCCATGCGCATGCACTTCGTGGCCCCGCTGTCGCCCTTCGTGGTCCCATCCCTGCCCTGCGTGGCCCCGCTGTCGCTGTCTGTGTCGCTCTCGCTTTCGCTCGTCGTCGTCGTCGTCGTCGTCGTGGTCGGTCCCCCGTCCGCCCCTTTTGGGGTCGGGCTGCCGCAAATCAGCGCTGCCGCTGGCCAGGCCGACGGTCCGCAGCCGCCCCGTCGCTTGCTGGGGCCCGGCCTGCAGGGGAGAAAATTATACCCTCCAAAAGGGGTACGATCGAAGACGGATAGGGCGGGTACCGAGGGGTTGGGAAATTCAAATTGAATATCAGCCAGCGTTGACTCCAAATCGATATATGAACAGGAGAAGAGCGAGAGAAAGAACAGACGAGGAGGAGAGGACGGGAGGAGAGGAAACCAAACATGACATGGCAATCAAAAAGAAGCGAGCAACCATGCAAGTACGGAGAACCATTGGAAATTCGCCGGCCCAACGGGCCAGAGGCGTGCTAAGATCTTCGGTAACTGGTTAACAGCATTTCTAGTTCGCGCGCGCGGAGCGGCCCGTGGGGCCCCCCCCGGACGAAAAATACCCCGGCAGAAGCCCGGGAAAAGCCCCCAAAACACTCCAGGGGTGGGCCATTTTTCTCACGAGGATCGTGGCCTCCGAGGGGGGAGCCGCAATCGACTACCCCCCTCCCGCCTCAAGAGGCCCCCCAAAGCCCCCCAAGAGGCCCTGGGGGCCCCCAAGACGCCGCCAAGGAGCCCCAAGAGACTCTCAAGAGGTCCCCAAGAGGCCCTAAAGAGGGCTCCAGGGCCGGCGGAATGAGCGAAGCGATTGATAACTGGGGGTGGGGGCCATTGGAAATAAGGGGGGGTGCCATTGGCAAAAGGGGGGGAGGGGGGTGCCATTGGAAATAAGGGGGGGTGCTGTTGGGAAAGGGGGGGGTCCTAAACACAATTTACTTATGATGAGCTAGGACTCCTGTAGGGCAAACCTATTTGGATAATGTCACTCGAGCAGGTATGAGCGAACAGTCTTACAATGACTGTTGTTGTTGTGGTTGTGGCTGTGGCTGTGGCTGTGCTTGTGCTTGTGCTTGTTGTTGTTGTTGTTGTTGTTGTTGTTGTTGTTGTTGTTGAAAGTTAGTTACCAACAAGTAATTATTGTTGGACCCCTCATGGGCGCCCTGGTGCTCTCGCCGAGGCGCCGGCTACATTTCATTGAAAATGAAGCTCACACTCGAGCGGTTTGGGGGACCGCCAAATCCGGCCCGCAAACAACAACAACGCTCCCGCTCGAGACTTCCTCCCTATTTTTTCCTTGGACTGGCGCGCTAGTTTTTCTCTCATCAACGCTCCCGCTCGAGGTTTCCTCCCTTTTTTACTCAAGGCGGTGCTCCTCCTCGCCCCGACAAAACCAGCGCTCTGGCCCGAGACTTCCTTCGACGCTGGACTGGCGCCCAACTCTTTTTTGAACTGGCGCCGCTCCCAGCAAGAACAACGCTCCCGCTCGAGGCTTCCTCCCTTTTTCCTGAAGACGGTGCTGTTCCTCGCCGCCGGCAACCCCCGTCCCGACAAAACCACGGCTCCCGCTCGATGCTTCCTCCTTTCTTACTCAATGCGGTGTTCCTCCTCGCCGCCGAAAACCGCCGCCCCGACAAAACCAGCGCTCCCGCCTGAGAATTCCTTCCGTTTTACGCTGGACTGGCGCCCTATTCTCTTTTGAATTGGCGCCGCTCCCAGCAAGAACAACGCTCCCACTCGAGATGTCCTCTCTTTCCTCGGGACGGTGCTGTTCCTCGCCGCCGACAGCCCCCGTCCCGACAAAACCACGTCTCCTGCTCGATGCTTCCTCCATTCTTACTCAAGGCGGTTTTCCTCCTCGCCGCCGAAAGCCGCCGTCCCAGCAAAACCAGCGCTCCCGCTCGAGCCTTCGTTTTGTTTTACGCTGAACTAGCGCCCTACTCTCTTCAGCATCGACGCCGCTCCCAGCAACAACAGCAGCCCTGCTCGAGACTTCCTCCATTTCTATTCAGGGCCAGGTCCTTGCCTCACCGCCGACAGCCCCCATCCCCACCAAGGCAATCCTGTCGTTCGATACTTCCTTGTGCTTTACCCTTTGCTGGGGTTCCATTGGCGGCCTCGCATCGGCGCAGCAAGGCGCGGGCATGTGTTTTCGAGGCGGGATCTGTTGAAGTTCCTCGGAGGAAGTGTCTGCAAAACCTCATTGAGCGGGAGATCTGGGAATCGGAATAACGGACCCCGCTATAGAACAAGAGTCCCCCATGATGTGGATGGTTAGCATGATGTTCGCATGCTTCGTGTGGTAACATAGCGCATGAGGGTAACATGATTGTTGTTGTTGTTGCTGCTGCTGTTGTTGTTGTTGTTGTTGTTGTTGAAATCTCATTTTTGCATTGTTGATTCTCCTGCCTGGTAACCATTGTATTGCATTGGAGGTGCCTCTTCTGGGGCTCGCACCCTGATGTTTACCATGTCTTTGCCCACCCGTTTGCAAGAACAGCGGCTTTCGCCTGATAGTTCGTCAAAATGAATTGCCAAGTCGCGCTTTTGTGCGGGACTTCCTTACAAATTATGCAACATCGCGCTCTCGCGTGGGACTTCTTCGCAATCTATTCAGACGCCGCGCCCTCGACACTCAGGAATCAAGCTTTCGCTGTGCAGTTCTGACGGTTTTCTTGCAGAGCGCACGCTGCAACAACCCTCCTGCTCGACCTGGCCGCCTGGGCCCGCCTTCCCGACCCGCCCATTAATAAGGTTCTACCAGCCAGATCTGCACGTCTGGTTCTGCCACGTGTTTTCTGCTCCTACCCCCTCCTGCTACGCTCTCTCGTTCTCCATCCTCCTCCTTCCCCCTTGTCCTTCCTTTCCATCCGTCCTCTCTTCCCCTGCCTCAGGGGCTGCACGAAATACAGGTTGCATGTATTGTATTGTATATATATGTATGTATGTACACCCTCAAAGGGGTACGATCGAATACGAAGATGGCGTGTAACTAAGGTTTAGGGTACACGTCTTGAATGACACGGGAGAAGACAAGAGCGAACAGTCTTGAATTGCTCTTTGTTGTTATTGTTCGTTACTGTTGCTATTGCTATTGTTATGGTTAGGTTTATTGTTATTGTTGTTGTTGTTGTTATTGTTATTGTTATTGTTATTGGTATTGTTGTTGTTGTTGTTGTTGTTGTTGTTGTTGAACTCTCACAACTGAACAATAATTCGTGTTGCCCCCCAATCGCGCTCTTGCGCGGGATTTTCTCACAACTTATGCATGAATCGCGCTCTCGCGTGGGACTTCCTCACAACTTCCAAGCAATTTACTCAGTTGCCGCGCCCTCGACACTCAGGAATTACGCTGTCGCTGTGGATGTTCGCACGATTTTCTTGGGAATCGCGCGATCGCTTTTTATTTCCTCGCGATTCATGCAGGACGCACGCTTCAGCAACCCTCCTGCTCGATCTGGCCGCCTGGGCCCTCCTTCCCGACCCGCCTGGTAGGGTCTACCCGCCCGATCTGCCCGTCTGGTTCTGCCACGTGTTTTCTGCTCCTGGCCCCCCGTGCTCCATCCTCCTCCCTCCCCCTTGTCCCTTCCTTCCATCCGTCCTCTTTCCCTGCCTCAGGGGCTGCACGAAATACACGTTGCAGGTAAGAAAGATATACCCCCAAAGGGGTACGGTCGAAAACGAAGAGGGCGGGTATCGAGGGTTCGGGATATACGTGTTGAATGGCACGCGGGCAGATAAGATCGAACAAACTGAAACTGCTTGTTGTAGTTGTTGTTGCTTCGCGACGTCGGATCTCAGGGTAGAGGCCTCCTGAATAGGGTCCGACTGGACGGGGTCGGACGATCGAGTCGCATCGCCGATTCATCGGCGATGCATCCGCGACGTCGGCGATCCATCGGCGACGTCGGCGTGGAGAGAATCGGGCTCTACATCGAGCCGCATCGCAGGATGCATTGGCGATGCGGCGCGATCCGTCGACCGCCCACACTTGGGAGGCCTAGACTCTCCCCTCCCGCAAGATTGCCCCCTCCCCCAAAGTCACCGGGGACTGTTCGAAGAGGCCGGCATGGCCCACCGGGCGACCTGCGCCTGCGCCTGGTGCCACTGCTCAAGGCCTCCACGTCGTCCCACGGCTCCTAAGCCTAAACTAATTACTCCTGAGCGCCGCTGCGCATCTGCTCCTCGTCACCCATCTCGGCCTCCGCGACGCTGTCGTCGAGGAAGAGGGCGCTCACGCCACCCACCGCTTGCGCGGCCGCCGCCACCATGAACGTCACGGGCAGCGCCTGCGCGAGCGACATCTGGCCTTCGATGGCAGCAAGCGTCATGGTGCACACCTGAGCGACGAGAAGAAAGGTGAAGACCACTCAGCCCGCCCCCATCCCCAGCCATGACTCCCACTCCCGACCTGGTGATTCGAAGGGTCCTGGCTGGGGATGGGGGGGCACCTTTTCGGAGCTCGTCGGTGCCGAAGAGCCACTCCTACCCCCAACCTGGACCCCTGCGTAACCAGATCTAGAGTGGGGGTCCTGGGTGGGGATGGGGGTAGGTTGTCCTGTCCGGGGTCTTACGCACGATAACATAGCGAACTTGCGCCGCGGCTTACGGGCCGCCAGCGCGGCACGCCATGTTGGAAATAAGGGCTCTTACGCGCGATCTCACGCGGGACGCCTATGCGCCAATGTCGGTGAAGAAGACCCCATTGTTCTGCGTCGCTGACCTGTTGGCCCACAGTGATGCAACAATTCAGGAGGGCCATCTGCAAGGCCGTGCTCACCTGCTTCCCCTCCTGCTCCGCGCGCTTGTTGAGGACCGCGATCAAGCCGAACGGGATGGCAAAGGACCCCACCTCCGGCAGCACCGAGAACGCCATGCACACTAGCGCGAAGAGACCGTTCTGCTTGACGAAGAAGGCGGCCAGAACCCCCACGATGGCCCCGCCGAAGATGCACGGCTACACACAAGAGTTACCCTAGGCACGAGTGACCTATTTTGCACGACTTTCGGGGGCCGCGGGGAGGCCAAACTCGAGCGCGCAAGAAGCTGCTATCGCATCGCGCTCAATCGTAATTGTGGTGAACCCAGTGTGCCCGCACCGCATGTCATTCCGGCGAAAGGTCACTCTTACGTGTAGCCGAGATGCACGGGGCGTACACCAGCCTCGGAGGGATCTTGGTGTGCAAGAGTACCAGGATGATGACCAGGGAGGACACGAGCCCCAGTACGGCCTTGCACTGCCCCCCCTGCGCGAACTGCGTCTCGCCCCTGGCGTACGCCTCGTGCTCTGGGGAGCCCGGCTCGGCCGTCTCGTCGCCCCCGTACACCGACACGCCAAACCTGGAGGAGCAGATCAGTGCGTAATTAAATATAAACTTTCGGAGCTCCGCGCAGATGTCTGGGATCGGTGGCTCGCGGAGCGCGCCAGGGGCGACGCCGAAGGCGCCGCCAATGCGGCCCAACGCAGATGCAAGAAATCCGCGCAGAGCTCCGCCAGCTTGAGCTGATGCCGTGTGTTCTTCCTCGAGGACCACTGCCCGGCGTATAAGTTCCACGAGGTGAGACCGATCCACACCAGGCACTGCACGAAGGCCAGGTGGTAGAGGATCCTGGGGCTGCCCTTCACCGCTTTCGCCACGTCCACCACAGGCGCACACGCTCCGGCGCCCTCCTTGTCCGGGTCGCGGGCGAGTGGTGTCTCCGTGGCCACCAGGAACTGGATGGCAACGGCGGCGGTGTTGAGGGCGCACACGAGTAGCATCAGCTCAAACATGTGCTCCACGGTCACGTCGTATATCTGCATGATGGAGAACGCAACGAAATTGCCGATGGCCATCAGGCAGACGAAGACGACCTGCATGGGCACCTGCTGCTCGTCGGAGGCCAAGTCGGCCACCAAAGCACGGTGAGGGGTCTGCAGAATGTTGATGGTGACATCCATCACCCAGTACATTGGGGCCGCGAACATAATGGCCTTCTCCTTGGGGAGCAGGTGCTCCGCGGACGCGAACAGCATGCCAGCCACCCAAGTGGCGACGAGACCCACCACAATGACAGGCCTACGGCGGCCGTACGGCGACGTGAGCGAGTCGGACGTGGCGCCGACGAGGGGCCCCGTGAAGAAGCCTGTGATGGGTCCCGCGATGTTGTTGAGGGTGGCCAGCGCAGGGCCCATCCCGAGGTGCAGCATGTAGGGGGCGCTGTTCGAGGAAGAAACAACCGCACAACCATATACTTTTTCAGCTCCGCGCGGACTGCTCGGATCGGCGCCAGAGGCGCCGCCAGGGGATCCAGCGCAGATCCAAGAGACCCGCCGGGACCTCCGAAACGGAGGGAAAGACAGCGATGACCATGTGACCAGGACTGAACGCTGAAACGTCGGTGTGGATCTTGGTCATCGTCGATTCGCGGACCATCCTCGCGAATCGGCGACGGCCAGCATGTATCATGACTAAGACAGGCGTCGACAAGATCCCTCGACGTTTTGATCATGGTCAGCATGTCTCCCCTCGACGATAGTTTATGCCTGTGCAGCGTTTTCTCCTTCGAGCTGTTAGGCCCGATGAAGCACCAGAGCACCTGCACGCTCAGCTGGGGCAGGGCCACGACGACGAGACGCATGCCGAGGACGAGGAGGACGACGGCGAGGACGACGAGACAGGGAACACGGACGCACACGAGGTGGACGAGGGCGAGCACGGGGACGAGGAAAGGGGGCAACGATGACGAAGACACCAGAAGAGGAAGAAACGGCATCAGTGTAGACTTTTGGAGATCAGCGCGGATTTCTTGGATCGGCGCTGGAACCCCCCCTCCCTGGCGCGCGGAGCGCGCCAGGGGGGCACCGGAAACGCGGCCACGGGGGCCCCGGAGCCGATCCAAGAAATCCGCGCAGCGCTGCGACAATTTACTCCCCAAACATCGCTTTTTGGAAATACATCGTCTGAATACTGGGCGATGTATCTATATATAGGGACTGAATTTTGACAGTGCTGGGGAGACACAATAGAAATCTTCTTCCTGTTCTCAGGGGCTGGGCCTTCTTGCCAGTCTCGGGCAATGTTGTCCGCATCCGCGCAGATTCCCCCCCGCCCCCCCCCCCCCACACACACACACATTGCACACCACAGATTGCTACACGCAGAATGCGCGCCACTGGATCACCCTGTACTTGAAAAGGGAGGTGTGTTCGCAGAGCCCCCCGCCCCCTCCCTCCCTTCAAAGGGGGGGTGAGATTTTCGACCCCCCCTTCCACCCCCCCCCAAAGGGGAGAGGGGGAGGTCAAACACCCCCCCTCTCCTTTGAAGGGGGGGGAGGAGGTCCCGAAAGAGGGGGAGGGGGTCTGCCCCCCCCCCTCCTGGCGCTGGAAACGGGGGGGGGTTCGGACCCCGCCCCCCATCCCCCCTTTTGCGCCGGATAGTGCCGGGGACGGGGGCCTCTCCCGCTGCTCCTGTCTCTGCGCCGGGGAAGTTGGGTAGGGAGTATGGAGTAGGGAATAGTGAATAGTGAGGAGAGAGTAGCGGGGAGTGAATAGTGACTAACGAGTAGTAGTGAATAGTGAGTAGTAGTGGGTAGTGAGTAGTGAGTAGCGAGTAATGAAGAATAGTGCATACTGAGTAGGGAGTAGTCAGTAATGGGTAGTGAGCAATCGGTGGAGTAGTGGGTAGTGGGTAGTTAGTAGTAAGTACTGAATAGATAGTAGTGACTAGTGAGTAGTGAACAGTGAGTAGTGAGTAGTGGGTAGTGTGTGGTGAGAAGTGAGTAGCGGATGGGGAGTAGCGAGTAGAGGATCGTGAGAAGCGAGTAGTGGGTAGTGAGTACGGAGTAGGCAATCGTGAGTAGTGAGTAGCGAATCGTGACTTGTGAGTAATGACTAGTGAGTCGCGAGTAGGGAGTATTTTGTAATGAGATGTGAGATGTGGGTAGCGAGTAGTAGGTAGTGGGTCGTGAATGGTGAGTAGTGAATGGTGCGTGGTGACTAGTGAATGGGGAGTAGTGAGTAGTTATTAGTAAGTAATGGGTGGTGAGTAGGGAGTATTTGGTAGCGAGTGGGGAGTTGCGAGTATTGAGTAGTGCGTAGTGAGTAGCAAATAGTGAGCAGGGAGTAGTCTGTAGTGAATAGGGAGTAGAGAGTAGTGGGTGGTGAGTCGTGAATATTGCGTTGCGAGTACCGAGAAGGGAGTAGCGACTAGTGAGGGCTGTGTAGGGAGTAGCGAGTAGAGTAGTGACTGCTGAATAATGATTCGGGAGTAATGAGTAGTGATTAGTGGATCGTGTTTAGTGAGTAGGGGATATGGGCAGTGGACAGTGAGTCGTGCGTAGGGAGTAGTGACGACTGAATATAAAGTAGTGAGTAGTGGTGAGTAGGAAGCAGTGATTGGTGAGTAGTGGGTAGTGTGTATCGAATGCTGTTTGGGGCTAAGGTTAAGGGTGGGGCTTAGGGACTGAAGTTCGGGTGAGGATCAGGGTTCGAGGTGGTCGGGGGGGGGGCGGGTTCTGGGGTCACGGGGCGGCGTGGCGAAAAGAGGAAAGGGGGGGGGGGGGTCGAATTTGGAGCCCAAGGGCGGGGGGGGGTTCGGACCCTCCCCCCTTTTGAAAGGAGGGGGGGGGGTCCCCGACGACAGACCGGGAAAAGAGGGGGGGTCCCCGACGACGGACCTGGAAAGGGGGCCCCGACGACGGACCGAGGAAAGGGGGGGGGGGGAGGGGGGGAAACCCTTGTCCCCCTGGGGAGATCCAGCTGCGCGCCCTCCTAGAAACACACTGGTTGGGGCCCACGCTGGCTAACCTGTTTCTGCCGCGCTCGTTCTTCTCGCCGTCGCGCGGACGTCCCTTCTCGGTGCATTTTTGATTTCGTGTGCCTATTTTCTCGCACGATGCTCCAAGATGCTCCCCGATGGTGCGCGCCGAGGAAAAATGCACACGTCTGAGCGATGCCGAGACTTCTTCGAGACGAGGAAGACGAGGCGGACGCGGACGGTGGCCACGCTCGCGGCAAGGAGGCAGGCACCGCAGCACCTGCACGCTCAGCTGGGGCAGGGCGACGAGGCTCAGCTTCCAGATCGGCCAGGCGGCAGCTTTCGCGGCCGCGAGGTCCTCGTCCTGGGCCACAGCGAGGGGCACCGCCGCGCTGCCGGGAGCCATCGGATGTATCGGGGGGGCAGAAGGGAGAGAGGCCCGTCCGGCGGCTCAGAGCTCGAGGAGGACGATGACAACGACGACGACCCGACGACGACGACGATGACGATGACGATGACGATGATGCTGATGATGATGATGATGATGATGATGATGATGACGATGATGATGATGCTGATGATGATGATGATGATGATGATGATGATGATGATGATGATGATGATGATGATGATAAGGATGCTGCTGATGATGATGATGATGATGATGATGATGCTGATGCTGGTGATGGTGGTGATGATGGGGGGAGGAGGACGAGGATGAGGAGGAAGAGGAGGAGTGAAAGGGGGTGGGGGGAGAGGGAGGAGGGGGAGGAGGTGGAGGAGGATGAGCATGGCGATGAGGGGGAGAGGGCGGAGGAGGGGGAGGGGGAGAACCCCCACCTCCTCTCTTCATGAAAGAAATTGGACGGGAAGCTTTTGGCACTTTTCGGCCTCCAGGGGCCCTTGCCGGGCTCCGGGACTGTCAAGAAACGACTCAGGATGAAAATCCAGGTCTCGGGGAAGGGATGCAAATCCCTAGGGGACCGCGTTGCGACAGACGACAAACATCACGACGTCGGAGTTCTGGGGAGGGATGGGGCCCTGAGGACTAGAGCCTCAGGCGGCGAAGAATCAACTCGTGACCTGCTTCCGGTCCTCAAAGGCCCCATCCCTCGGGGCCCCATCTCTGCGCCGCCGGCCCGCCGCCCTCTCAGCGGCCGTGTCCCAGCCCGAGCACTAAGGGGGCGTGAGTCTCCGAGCCGCAGCGACGACTCGAGCAGAAATGGCTACGGACAGAAGGAAGGCGAGGAAGGCGAGGAGCTGAACGAAACGGCGGAGGAATCGCGTAGCACCCCGCACTTGCGGATGAGAGCGACGGGGGTGGCGGCGCGGGCGAACCGACCCCCAGCGTGTGTAGTCCCATGAGTAGCCCCCCCCGGGGTAGCCCGCATGTGCAGACCCCAGGTGCCGCCCCCACGTGTAGACCACACGTGCAACCCCAACGGGTAGGCCCAGCGCGCAACCCGCACGGGCAGCCCCCGAGTGTGGCCCCCAGGCGCAGCCCCGAATGTGCCGCCTTCAGCGTGCAGCCCCAGCGTATAGCCTGCACCGGTGGCCCGGCCCTCCGTCCAGCCTCGCGCGCGCGCGGGGAGGGGCAGAGGACGACCGCTCGGGCCCGCCAGGCCCCCAAGCAGCTCCCAGACTGCCCGCGAGAGTCCACAGACAATGCCCCGCTGGAGCCACGCGCGCGCTTCGCGCGCGCTAAGGTTCTAGCCGCGACCAAAGAGGTCGCGCACTAAGTTGCCAAGGAGGAGCGCAGGGGCGATTCTGGAGATCCTTCGGGGGTGGTAGAAGGACCTGCGGCAATCAACGTTTGGGATCCCAGCGAGGCGTCGGGAAGTCCTGGGGCCTTTTCGACGCTTCTTGCGCTTCTTTGGATCCACCTGAGGACCGGAGGAGGTGGAGCCTAGCTACGAAGAATTGTGCCCGAGTCTGGTCCCGAAGTGCACGCCGCCAGAGCCACACCATGGAGTATCGAAAGCCACTCCCTCTCTTCCTGGCCACGTATCTGGGGCCAAACCAAAGTGCAACGACGTCAAGAACATCTATCCGGGTCGCACCGGCAAGGCCTCCAATTCGATGGCTCTGGTTTTCCAGGGGGGCATTACTGAAAAGCTTGCGCGCCAACTCCAGCCGTCTACGGGCCCTCTTGAAGCCTCTTGGACGCCTGCTGGAAATGCGGTATTGGGGGCCTTTGGCGTTCCATTTTTGGAGCCGTCTTGGGAGCAACCTGGGCCACATGAGAAACCTTGGACCGTTTTGGGGGCCTCTTGGGCTGCCTTGGAGCCCTCTTGGTGCCGTGCTGGGGCCATTTGGGGCCCATCTTGGGCCGTCTAGGGGTCCTCTTGAATCTCCTGGGCCGTGCTCTGTTCCTTCGAGTGCCCTCTGAGGACATCTTGAGCTGCTTTGGGGGCCCCCTTGGGGACCTCTTGAATTGTCTTAGGCCCATGTG